AAAAAAAAAAAAAAAAAAAAAAGAATAATTCTTTTCATTTTTTGGTAAAAAAGTTTTTTTTCATTAAAAAATTGGTTACTTCGGAATTGCAATATAAAGATTTTTTTCTATGGTCATTTTTGACAGTTGACTGTCATCAAACTCCACCGAAAAGTGGTGCTGTGAATGAACAACAGTGAAATTAAGAATGAATAAAAATGAAAACTACAAATTTACTAACCAAACTTCTTCCTGTCATTACTGTCCTCTCCAAAAAAAAAAAGCTGTTTTTTCTTTTCAGTTTTCTGTATTTTTTTTCTTGATTTGCATTTTCAAATTCTGACAGTACACGTCATTCAAAAAATCTATGATTAGGTGTAAACGTCATAGCAAAACAGAAATGATGAAAACGAAAAATTGAACTACATCCCGTTAACGGCCGACTAGCTAGCTGGTGCGCAAAAAAAAATTTAGTCTTAAATACTTACGGCGATCTACGGCGGCCACTTTGGATTAGAATAAACAAAGGAGTTTAGCCAATTAGTTAACTTTGAGCAATCCGAAATAAATAAATAAATTTTTACCTGTTTACTAAAACTTTCTTCTCCCTTTTCCGTTCTTCCTATTTCTTCGGTCAGTTCGGTGGTGTATTGTTAAACTTTTTTCATTAGTTTTTTATCTTCAAATAAATCTTCAGTGAAAATACTGATGACCCCCTGGTCTGTTTATGATCTCGTATGAAAGTTTATTCAACCAGATACCGGCTGAGTTAGACAAGTTTCATTGCCCAAACAGCTTGCCTTAACCAATCTACAGTTTCTTCTTTTTAATCACTCGATCAATTTAATTTGTGTCTTCTCTTTAAATTCGTCATCGTGATCACCATATGATCTGACCGCTTATGCAACACTTTCAGCATTCCAGTCATTTTCGTTAAAACAAAGAACACTGAGAAAAATGCCTGCCGGCTTCTTCAATGAGATGCAGGTATTAAAACCCACGAAGCGAAAAAAGATGACGTGACTGAGAAATGATATGAACAAA